CCCCCCCCCCCCCCCTGCTGCATTAGTCTCACCTCTCCCCTTCAAGAGGTCCCTGCATCGTCTTTGATCCTGGTCCTGACTTGGATCCATACAACACGACGAGTAGAGCACGATACACTGCACGCGCCAGGCAGACATGCGTTCGACACGCGCGGGGGGTAGGTGTTGTTGTTGTTGTTGTTGTTGTTGTTGTTGTTGTTGTTGTTGTTGTTGTTGTCTCCCAATAGAAATCGTTCATTGTCTACTCCGTATCTCATATAATATCCGTTGGTTGTTATCGGTGTTGTATTCACAGTCAGCGTAGGGATACTCTCGCGGGAGTGCGCGTTGTTGGGTCTGTGTCTTTCGGCCCACGCGCGATTGCTTCGATCAGGAAAGGAGTGTGTAAGCACACGTTCGGCAACAATGTTCGCCGTTGTCGGGAAGGGGACCCGGAACCGGCGTGTCGGAAAAAATGGTGGGGCATGGCCACAGGCCCCAGGATGCATTTCACTGGCCAGGGAAAACTATTTAACAAACCGGTAACTTGCCAACCCTGCGTGGTCTCCATTTGATGCACAGCAGGTGCATGTAATCATCGCCATCCCCCGGGGTCTGGGTGCTCCCAGAAATACGGCACAGGGCTTAGTGGGCCAATCAGCGTCCCGTAAAGCGCGCGTAGAACGCCTCCCTCCATTTATTTAGTGTACCGCTTTGCTGGGCTGGAAATACCCTCGTGTTCAAAGGGCCCTCCGTGTAGAAACCGTGGAACCCCCCCCTCCGGGCCAAGATTGCAGTGCAATATATGTAGGGGGTGTAGGCGGCACGCTCGCAGAAGTCTGTCGTACAAGATTTAGTGTATCCACGGTAAAACCGATATACTCTTCATTGAGTAGACTTTCGTGCCGCATTCTAAAACCCATAAAATTCTCTTTTTTATTTGTAGGCTTCGTGTCGTCATAGTATTTCCTACACCATACACTAGACCTCGCGACCAAGATTGACGCGCATTCTTGGGGTGTTGTTCCATAACTTCCACTAACTTTGTGTGGGATCCCGCGCGCGCGCTGAAACAAGCGCCCGAAAAATGTCGAAATCCCGGGGATTTTGTCAAAATGTCCCCGGTCGGGGACATGTAAGCCCCCCACCCCGCGACCACGATTGCAGCGTAGCCCAGGGGCGTTCCGACGTTTCCAGATTGAGGGCTCCTTGTCGTCGTATATGCCTTCACACCGATTTTCTGGCGTTTGCCCTCGTCTTCGATTGTAACATGCCTGGTATTGTTCATACTCATGATAACACCCTCCCCCATGGCCGATTACCACACCACAAAACAACACCAAAGCAGCGGGTTATTGTGTGGCTCCGTCATCAACATGAGCACTTGCAACAGGGGGACAGAAGACGCCACGTCCCCCACAAATACAGTACCAAACACCGGGTGTACCGCGTGGTGCCTTGATGCGGCAGGACCACCGCTGCTGAACAGCAGAAATTCCCCGCCATAACCACATCACCGCACCGGTGGAGCACATCAATATATACAGACAGAGCTTCTCCCGACAGCAGTACAGTAGTACGTCGGCGGCACGACAACAACACCACCGTTTCGTCAGCTTCGAAGCCCCAAGCGCCAGCGGTATTCACCTCGCTCTTGTGATAACCGCACTCCCCGGGTTGTTTCATCATCCCGCCGCGACACAGACGTGTGCTGCAGCTGTTGACGTCGTCGTCTGTTGGTACTTACTGACATGTCCAGCAGTTGCTTCAGCTGTGAACACCGGCTTTTGACTTTGGTAATTTTGGGCGCATTACATACCTTCCCTCGTTCGCAGGACCACCATTGCTAAGCGCAGCTGTGGTTTCTGCGGAACTCTGTTCTACGACACCACAGGGGGTCTGAACTAGAGGCACGAGGCTGCTTGCTACTGCCGGTGTGCAACGACGTTTGCATACTTCATTTTCGAACATTTCGCCAGAACCTCATCCCCCCGACACATCCGATAGACATACCTTGAGAGCTTCCTTGACAGCCTCCTTAGGTTCCGATTTTGGTTCATCTTCGCCCATCGTTTCCCTTTCTCTCTCTGTCGCTGTCTCTGCGTTATCCTATCTCTCCCGATATCTCCTCTGACACACACACAAACCCAAAGTAGAAGGAAGAGACTCCAAGCACGGTGGGCGGGGGCTCCGTGAACGAAAATGTACCGATAGGGAGGGTGGGGGCTTCGCGAAGGAAGAAAGCATAGAAACGAGCTAGCAGCCAGACACCGCGAGACTTGTTAGAGCACCACACGGCGAGCTTGGCAAACGTCGAGTGCGGTTCGCAGCGACTTTTGTGCCCTGATCTGGCTTGAAGCTCTTCGAACCACCGCAACCGTGAGTTGAGGGGTTGTGGATGAGGTGGATAGGCACAGAAACGACGATGTTTCGCAGTTTTTTTGAACTCCGCTGCTGACGGGGGGAAACAGAGTTTCAGCACACCTCGCTGCTGTTCGAGAACAGCAGCAACAGCAGTCGGAGTAGACGATAACACATGAAGCCCTTAGGTTGAGAGATACACTTGGTCCCTCGGACTCGTGCACCCGTGGGGAAGAGCTTAGATTAGCTGGCTTTGGGCGAGTTCTTGAGAAAACCGATAGACTGAGAGAGACCTTCTCACATGTAAATTTTACTCCAAACTCGGCCGCTACATAACGCCTCGTCCCAAGCACGCCCTTCTCCAAAGTTGGTGTCCAAAAAGTGTGCCAAGATCTCTATCCAGGACACAAGAATCACCGCAACCATCAGCGTTGCTGTCTCGAATTTCATTTTGATGCGTGTATCCAAGCCCCGAACGCCCCCGCAGGAAGGACTAGGTATCATCATTGTGCTACAGCCGTTGGTATGGTATGTACAGCTGCCACACACCATGCCTCCCCCCCCCTCGGCCTGCTCCCCGGTCGGGGCCGAAATCGACCTAGTGAGTCCCTCGCGGGCGAACCAGGCCACAACAGATAGTAGGCGGGTGGTGTCCCAAGGTGCAACTCACCGCCGCGCTGGCTCAGCGTGGCGGTGAGGATGCACAGACGGTGGGAGTGGCGAGAGGTGTGTATGGACACTGTTCCCGCGGCAGTAATGCAAAGCGGCAAACTGCACCTGGCAACCACCGTCGCGGAAAGCGTGGCCCACGAAGCTGGAGGAGTAGAGAGATTCGTAAACACCACGTCAGTAAGCACCGCTCGCGGGAGAAGGGAGACAACCGCGGGCACCGCGGGGAGGGAGTGCTGCACCCTCCTCGTCAAAACACCACAGGCAAGAACCGAGCTCTGCAGAGATGGATTGATGCGAGGAAACTCGCCGCTCGGAAAAGACGGAAGAAAGCACACCCGCAACGCGAGGTGGACCGAGAGAGACACGAGACCGCAGCGGCCGTCAAGGCGGCTGCGAAGAAGAAGGCACGAGAGGGCGACCTATCGCTCGGCATGTTCAACGTACGCACGCTCGCCTACAGCGGTAGGAACCCCATCGGTCACAACGTGATGACGGTCATG